ATAAAGTATAAAATGGAAATCATCTTTTCGCGATTATATATATAATAAGCTAATCCAATTATAAAACATGTAATTATAATCTAATGATAAAGTATCATGAAATGAAAAGTCATATTAGTACAATTAAAATGAAAAATGTTTCCCAAAATAACAAGAACATGAATTATAAATAAAGTATAAAATGGAAATCATCTTTTCGCGATTACAAATTCACGATTATATTATTTTTTCTTTCCTTTTCATCATATAGGACATGGGATCGTTAACTTTGAAAGTAGAAATAGTCCCTTTAATTGTATTTACACTAGGCGCCAAACTGTAGTAAAATTTATACATGTCCATTTTGCATTATTGCACGGGAGGAGAGAGAGAGATAGATAAAAATAGACGAGAGAAGGGTAAAAGAGAAAGAGAGGCCGAGCAGGAAGTACTATAAAGGCTGGGACGTTATTGACATTGTCAGTTGTAAAGTCGGATATATTGCGAGGTGACTGTTTATTCCTGTCTGAAATATACGTGCTATAGTCAGCGTGCTACTACGGTTAACGGGGTTAGAATGAATAATGCACCAGATTTTTCAGCAGTATCTCGAGCTATTATTATGATAAAGTATCGAAGCTTGGCCGGTGTGTGCCGGCTGCTGCTAGAAAGGACATTACAAAAAAGGGAAAGAATTCTCGTTGTTAAAGGAACAGGATTGGTGGTGAATGTAGTTAAAACACGATCGGATTCTTTTCTCTCTGGTTAGTATTGAATTGTAAAAATCCATTGAACTTTGATAATATTATGACGGTGAAGATTGCGAGTAAAATTATATGAAGTTGGTATCGTAAGTAAGAAGGAAGTTCGAAAACGTTGTAGCTCACGTCCCAGTTAAACGATCTCGGATTCCAATTTGAACTTCGCCATATTACTTCGAGTCGAGAAAGCTGGCAGACGTTGTCCGGGAGGAATTACACGAGCCCTTTGTAAGGAGCAAGACTTGCCGCGCGTGTTCTCGCGATTCAATTTAGCTTGGGAAAACGCGCAGAGAAATGGCATTGTTGAAAGAGGTGGAAATTTTTGGTTGGAAGGAGGGAAAAGACTTCTGGAGTTCGACCGACTTCTCCCTTTCTCGTTTTTGATAAATTGCACGGTCTTTTCATTTCTGTTCTTTTTTTCTTTTTTTTTTTTTTTTCTTATAGCCAATTCATTCTTCTTATATTTCTTCATCGTCTTCTTTTTCATTTAGAGTTAAATCGTGACCATTTCTTTCCACATTTTCTATGAGGATTTGACAAAAATCATGAACGACTATTTAACCGCTAATATTAATTTATATTAAAGAAAATAATGATTGTAATAAGAAGAGCCTGTAACGCGAGAATCAAGCTACCTTTGTACGGTAAACTGATATCAAAAGGATCTATTCTTGGATCGTTGAAAGACGACGTCACAAGGTTCGAATTTAACACGTTACAGACATATGACAAGCTTCCTCATGTTGATAATTGATGCAAAAGAACAGCTTGCAGTTTGCATAGACATGCTTAGTAATAAAATATCAGCTAAGTAGCATGCTACGTAGATGATCCGTTTTATGATAAAAAACTATTTTCTTAAGGTACAGTTTGTTAAAGCTTTCTTTGCCGATCGGAAGAAATTTAAAAATGGTATATAAAATGAATCTCGTTAAAATCCAAAGCGGATCAAATATTGTCGGTTTAAAGTCTGACAAAATTTTCAAATGACTAATGAACATACATTTATCGCAGACGGGATGTGAAGTCGACCTAATTTTTACGTAACGAAACTGTGTTAGTATTTTATGAAAATAAAAAAAAAAATAAAAATAAAAAATTAAAAGAAGAAAAAAAGAGCAAAAAACCTACATTGAATTACTCTCGCGTATAAATCCGAAGCGGCGGTGGCGGTGGCGGCGGACATGCAAACACGTTGGTGTTTGCTTACTTTTAAAATCCGCTAATGATTCGTTGAAATTGTAGGTACGCGCTCTCTCTCTCTCTCTCTCTCTCTCTCCCCCTTATACATATATGTGAATGCTGACAGGGTGGTGTTGGGGTCGTAGGTGGGGTAATAATCGTCGTAATGACAAAACAAATACGGTACGTGCACGTGCACGTGTGCACCGTGCTTTCTAGCTCACTCTCGTCACGAAATGTAAGCGGCATGCGGCACGCGCGTCTAGCAAGCTCTTCCTTCCGACCGCGTATTTGCGCACAGGTTTCAGTTACAAATCCACTTCGCTAAGCACGCATATGACATACACATATGACGCCCTACATATTACTGACACATACAAACGAACAAAGATATCCCTTTTAATGTACGGTTCTTCTTTTTTTTAATCGTCAATTCATCCCTTACCGTTAACCTTTCATCTGTTCCAACGTTTTTTGGTTTTTTATCTTCCAGGAAAAGGATTCATTTTACGATAAAAAAAAAAGAAAAAATAACGCCCTTTTTGTCGAAACAGGATTCTCGCGATTTTTCTTTTGAAAATAATTATTAATCGTATATAACTAGATTATAAGCTTTGTCATTGATTAAACAAATCAAAGTATTTTTTTTTTTTATTTATCTATTGTAAGCTACGAAATATCAAATAGACCATAGATTTAATTGGATATTTGTTTTAAATAGAAATATTTTTGCATAGAAATTATTTGAAATAACAAAACACAATTATTAATGTGTGGTTGGTACAAAAAAGGCTTAAATTTTTCTATCTAATGAAGATACGACCAAATGTCGGATCTTATGCATCAATTTTCAACTTATAAATCTCCTTAATTCCTTCTCGCATATCTGTTATAACTGACATGGAAAATGAATATATTATTATTACGATATAATATATAATTGAGAATATATAATTGATAGAAAGTACCTATTTTATTCTCGATCTTTTACCTTTAACTTTTCACAGACAAATACTAGTGAAAGTAGCATATTGCGTCTCTATTTCGACTGATTTGATTATTAACTTCTAGTATCATTAATTATAACTTCTAACGCAACAACGTTCCCATGAGTCTTTAATGTAACAGTTGTAGACTTCGAACAGATTCAAGGCGAATGAATGTAAGATCATATCGAGAGTTTTCTTCAAGCCATCTTAACGTAACCAACCTTAAGCTAAATACCTTCGACGACGGAAGTATTTTAATAAGATGCAAATTAAAATTAACGTAACGCGAAGGAATATTCGCGAACGTGAAAGTAAGCTTATAATATTTAGTATAGTACGTTATCTATTCGGTATAGTAGATATTGCCAACGATATTTTAACAAAATGATAATAGAAACGAGAGTTATACAAAATTGATAGGAACGTAATAATAATTTTCAACAAGAACAACGCTTTAATGTTGCACCATGTTGAATTTTACTCTTCATGATCGTTTAGAGAGAGAAAGAGAGAGAGAGAGAGAGAGAGAGAGAGAGATAAATAGATAGATAGAGAGAGAGAGAGAGAGAGAGAGAGAAAATGGAAATGCGTTGCGGTGTACCACCTTGGCCAATAATTTCGGCTCTTACTGTAATATACCCTGGTACGTATACCTATACGTATCATAGATACTAGCATAGTACACCATTGACCTCATAAGAGAACACCTTATGGCTTCGTTTATTCGACCCATTTCTTTCTCTCTCTTTCTTTTTCTTTTTTATCTACACATTCTTTCTTACTCTTCTCTTTGTTTCTATTGTTTTTTTCCGCCTCTCAGTTTTGCGTGCGTGTGTGTGTGTGTGTAGTTTTCTTTCTTTGCTCGATTACCCTTTTCTTGTTTTGTTCCCCCTTTTTTCAAACAACACATCATTTCTTCGATTACCCATATCGGGATCGTTGCTATTATTTTCCATGCAATTGCATTAACACTATTGATACAGCTCGTCAGCTGCATGATTATCATGTGTGCAGGAGAAAAAGGATTTTTTCTTTCTATGGTTAGTTTGATTTTCTCATTTTCTTACTTTTTTTTTTTTTACTTTATTCTCTATATCCTCCGATAGTTAAACTTTGTGTTTTTTTTTAAAGATATAATAATATTAAGCTAACAAAAGTGTTGTAACCTATATATATATATATATATATATTCTATAACACGCAAGGTAAATTGATTTTATCACCCCCTTCAATTCTCATCTTTTCTATTGCTTTCGCGACGAAAATCATGTGTACTTTGGCAAAACTAATACGTGGTCTAAGAAAATCAGCTTCCGTGAACGAATATCGTGATGGAAATAAGAAAACGAGCTGAATCGACGAGAAGACGACAACTTTCCCAGACGATCATCGACATATGGATGATACGTGACTCACTTGAGGTTACATATTCGTAACTTTCATGTAGGATAGATATCAATGTGTATACACGGTGTCTCGATATTGAGTTTGTCGATAAAGTTCTTAAAAGTTACGATTCTGGTATATCTTGGTGAACTTTATTTGAAAGTTTCTAAACGCAAATTTTTTCCGATAATTATCGTTAGACCGTATATATTAACAGATCGATAAATGTGTAATGGTGATTTGAAAAAAATTAAATTGATATTCGTTAAAACATTCAACAGTCATTCGTTAAAACAGATATAAATATAATTTCAATAATTGCAACTTTCTGCAATATATTCACGAAACAAGAATCTTATGGGAGTCTATATACTCGTTTAACTTTCAAAGATAGGTCTTCGAAAGAACACGTGCATTATCGAGACACCTTGTATGGATAGCATAAGATCATCGCGGTGGGTTTACTCACGTCTATCGAAATTTCCTTGCCAGTGGGTCGTCGCTGTCTCCTCACCGTTGGTGCTGCCACGAATCGATAGTCGGTGCATCAATGTGTCGCTCTTGATACCAGCCGTCCAAGGTTCCAAACCTTCCTCGTAAATGTTGTCGATGTCTTTACGTGGGCGGGCAGAAGCGTCACTGGAACAGGGAAAATAGATAGATCGTTACAGAACCGCGTACCCGACGGTTTTATGGGCCAATAAATGTTCTAGGATCCAACCTCTCTTCCTTCTCCAACTAAAGAAGCTTATTAAAACCCATCCCCATTTTCTCATCTGTCCTTTACTCTTTCCTACATGTACGTTATCGCTTATATCGATTCGATACGATACCGTTCCTGATCGTACGGTGATCAATGTTAAATCATTGGATATCACCTTAGGGATGACTCCAACGAGTTAAGTTTAATAAAAAATGTGTAATTATAAGAAGAATTTATTGATTGTATGCAAAATAAATTGACGAATCGATTTTTACCATATTGCTTTTTTATTTATTATATTATTAAATATTACGAAGATAACGTTGACTAAAAATAAAAACGAGTTATATGAAATTGTATATATATATATATGTATACAACTTAAACTGGTGTCGAATGTTATTAGGAATATCAACGAATACTTTTGTAACTTGTCACCTATAAGAGAGAGAGAGAGAGAGAGTAACGATATCGTGCAGTCATTCGTTAAAAGAAAAACCAGAAAGCCGCTCTGGTTGGACTGCTGGGGTTTCGGGCTGGTAAGCACGAACGGATTCGAATTTCGCGTTTCGTGATGTCGAAGTGCGCGTAACACGTGCGACGTATGTTTGGCGAAGGATGAACGAAAAGGGTGGTGGTTCTCTCGTTTCGCGACTATTTCAATTTGTTCGCGAGTGGTAGCTCGTTGAATGAAAAGAAAAAAGGAAAGTGCATGAGAAAGGTGTGGCACGTTATAAAGTCAAAATGTTCGAAATACTGACGACATACAATGTACTTTTCAATCGATCCGTATCTAACTTTTCACGATAAAACATTTTTTCTCTTATCGTAAAAAAAAAAAAAAAACGAAACATACAGATTTTTAACACATTTCAAGTTATGTAATTTATCTGCTAAAAAAAATGAAATCTTAAATACGAATGATTAACAATTCGATATTATTTTAATGACAACCAGAATGAACATTTATTTTCATCTTTTTAATTGTCATAACTTTTACGTAATAAATTCTGCGAGTTATTTTCAAACAATTTCGAAATATTCGAAATATTTTGTTAATTGCATTCTTACTAGCCAAAGGACAAGGAAAATATTGATAATTTCCAACATCTTTCGCGTCTTTTCATTCGTTTGAAAGTGCTTTCTTACTTTTCTTCTTACCACAAAGTACGACGATTATCACACCAAAGAAAGATCGTGCGTAGCATGGAAGGAATGCAATTTGAATATTTACCACAACTCTTATCCATTTCTTCCTTTTAAAATTCTCCCTTTGTTCGTAAATCAAATTCTTCGCGCTTTGTTGGATATTACTTAGCCATATACATCGTTTAAAATAAGTATGTCTTCATCTTGGTACTTGTATATATATATATATTTTTTTTTTTTGATCTTTTTCTAACACGTTTAAACCATAAAACAAAATCGTTTAACCATGAATGTCGAGAAACGAATCACCCTTATATTTCGTTGAACGAACGTCAGAGAACTAATTTCTTACGATCTACAACCGTAGTTAATGTCTACTTTCAGCATTCAGGGTTTAGAATAGCCTTTTTAGAAGGATACTGTATCGTATCGCGGTGCTTCGGTTAAAACGACAAAGCGATACAGATCCTACACCCCTTTTCAACAACAGCAACTAACGTTTCTCGATGCATGGTTCCTTCCCTCCGTCTAGCATCGACCAGACGTCTTATTCTTTACGTCATTGTCTTGGCACCCCTTACCGTTGGCAAAGCGTACTTTTCGACCCGAGGAAGATCACGCCACTACGATTACAATAGGCTTGCTTCCTCGACCATCGTGCCAACCCTGACGACGACGATGACAATGACGACAACGACGACGACAACGATAACGGTACGTTACTCTCCAAGGAATAACCCTTCTTCTCGAGAATGGTCCAACTTACGCGTCACTATCTTCCTCTTTTCTATTTCGAAGGATATACTTAGATATAAATATAGATTTTGTATATACGGATATGTATTTTTATATGTGAAAAGAAAAAAAGAATTGAGATTGGGGTCATTGTAAGCTGTTCAAAAACTACGAATATGTTCACCCATTGTCTACCATTTACTTTCTTCCTTTCTTCCTCGTTTTCTACTATCCTTTCTTTTTTTTTCTTTCCCCTAACAAACCGTTCTAACTATTTTGCTCTCGTTCATCTTTGACACACGAGTCTTTCTCGCGTGGTCCTTTTTAACCACGTTTAAAAGCACTCTTGAGTCTACCCTATCTCACGAGAATACTTTTCCAGATGGTTCGTTGCTATACAGGGCTCGTCGCCTTTTTATTGCTTTGGATAGTTAGGGGTTTCGGGTATGTAACTTCTTCGAAGGAAACGTTCAAACTGAGTAATAGCTTTGGTATGATCATAAAAGGATACGAAAATGGAGTTCAGAATGAAGGATAAAAAAGTTCTATTAATTTTTGTCTGCAATATATAGATTTATAGAACTTTTCTCATATATTTTATATTTAATCGCATAAAATCATTTGAATTTTAAACATAAAATAATTTAACCCTTTGAATGCTGAATACTTTTAATTAAAATGTTTTGTAGGAACGGAATAATTTATTATTAATTAGATTCTAATAATAAATTATATTTAATAATTAAAGTTTTTGTTTTTGAATATAATTTAATTAATTAATATAAATATTAAATTATTTTACATTAATATTAACAAACACGTATATGCGTCCATAGCACTCTAAAGGTTAATATGAAATTTTGATGTATTAGATTAGATGTATTATGACATTTGTATAATTTTTCAATATTAAGACAGCGAAAAATAGACCTTACATGAAATATAAAAGAAAGAGGAAAGAAGATTGGCGAGATTTTACGAGAGGATCGTCCTCCTCTCGTTGAAAGCCTAGAAAGAGATATACTTCTAGAATTATGGTAGACGATCCAGCAAGGTATGGCTGCTTTTTCAGAAAAAGCCAGCGCCAGTAGACAAGCTCGAAGAGGATGGAATCCCCGACGACATTTTCCTCCTGCATTTCGTCCTTTCTTGAGATAGGAAAATAAGGCAAGATGAATTACACCTCTTCGTTGACGGAAGAAACCCGTTTGTTCAGACATTTATACGTGAACTATCATCATCGAGAAGAATACGATTAAATAATTAATTTCCTAAAAACCAAATGCTCATCTCACGGTTTTCAAAATTTCTAGAAAAAAAAAAAAATACTCTTACAATATTATTTTTATCTTTCATATTTTATAATAATTAAAATTTGCAATATTACTGAGAACATATTGAAAGTATTATAAAAAAATATAAAAATTAATTATATCTATAACTGCGATATCACATTTGGATATATGAAATTAATTAAAACAGAATTATAAGTTAAAATTAGTATTTTAACGATCATTCAAATATTGATATGTTATTTTACTGTTATTTCAGTGAAGGAAATGTTCAACGCTGATTTGAATATATGTATATACAGAGAAATTAATTTTAATAACTACGAGCTATCGTAGAAATGTGTAACGTTATCATGGAATTTGTAGATCATAAAGCTAGAGAAAACTTATTTCGTCATAAGCATTTCGAATATTTCTACACTGTTGAGTATGTCTCGATACCGTTATCGTTCCTATAAAGCTTCCAGTGAGTCATGGTAGGAGAATGAATATTGATTCTTTTAGATCGTATCCATAAAAAGATAAAAAAAAAAAAAGAAGAAAGTAGAGTCAAATTTGATCAAGCTTCACTATTATTCTTATTCACTTTATTATATAAAATATTGTATTATTTTGATTGAACAATTTTATCAAATAATTATAATAGTATATTTTATGTACTTACTTAATATAATTCAAACGTTTGATTTATTTTTCTTAATCCTACGATTTTTCAACACAATTTCACTAAGTTTTTAGAAAAGCACTATATTACAACGATAATATATCAAACACTGGAGTTGAACAGAACGAAATGCACGATAACGCCTTAAATTGTTCGTAAGTAAATAACGAGTGTTATCGGTCGATACGTTATCATAATAAACGGTTACTCACGTTACCACGTTAAAAAAAAAAAACAAAATTCGAAGTACAATTTGTCGTACATCGACAAGTTATCATGAATGAGTGACGAATAGGTAAAGTTTAATTTTGATATAATGCACAAATTTAGATCTCATATCTTTCTATTTTTAAATTTTTTTAATCTTCTAGGAAATAAAAAAATTGGAAGAAACGATTAAATAAACATAAAAAAAAATATATGTAGACGTTTGCATGTAAAAGTTGACTCGTATGCTTTTTAGTACAATCAGGATATAAGGGTTAAGCCTATAAAATTGTTGAGCGACAAGGAACAAGGGCAGCAATGTTGCCCGACCATGAATCACTGCTCACACGAGGAAACTTTTTCCGACTCGCGTCTCTCTTTACATGCCACCGAGCGAAACGTAAACGTGTAGATAGATGTATAGATAGATAGAACATGCGCTCTCATTGCACTCTGGCCTATACTCGATAACTGAAAGCATGTCCTTGCACGCGTATATAAATAATATTTTCTCCGAGCACGTGTACCTTTTCGATTATATATTTTTTTTTGTCTCATAACCTAATTGTTTTTATACAGAATAAGAAGAAAAAAAAAAAAAAGAAAAAAGATATGATAAAACAAGAAAAAAAATTAGATTCGTTAGAATGACCAAGATCTTTTTCAATTTTCTTTAAAGTAACGAGCAATGAATTTAGGAAAAAAACGAGATAGATAAAGAAAGAAAGATAGAGAGAGAGAGAGAGAGAAAGAGAAGATGAGGTGCAAAAGGTTGGATGACTCCCCGAGGAAAGGGCGAATGTTCCTTCTCGAAATGAAATTCTGACCGGGACTTTTGTTCGGTCATAAATTGACATAGAAGTCGAGGATAGGTTTGAGTGGGTACGTC